ACATGAGCATAAAGAAAAATGAGAGTTGCACAAGAACTATCTGACTTGCCAAAACCGGTTTGGCTCGGTGGATAGAGCTTTGGCCTGTGGACTAAGGGTCCCAGGTTCGATTCAGGTCAAGGGCATTTACCTTGGTTGCGGGCACATCCCCAGTAGGAGGTGTGCAGGAGGCAGCTGGTCAATGTTTCTCTCTCATCTATGTTTCTAACTCTCTATCCCTCTCCCTTCCTCTCTGTAAAAAATCAATAAAAGTATATTTTTTAAAAAAAGAACTATCTGCCTATATCAGAAAAAGCAATATTAGACTAATAGGCATACCAGAAGAAGAGAGGGAGGAAGGAATGGAGAGCCTATTCAAGCAAATAGTGGAAGGGAACCTCCCAAACCTATGGAAATAACTAGATCCTTGAATCCAGAAAGCAAACAAAACACCTAGTTACCAGGGATATTTCTTAATTATGGACACTTCTTTTCAAAACAATGACCAATTCTCTAAATTGGAACCTCCCCTCAAATCAGTGCTTTGCTATATTCAGTGTTTCTTACTCAGATCTTTATGAGTATTACTGTATTTACACCATTAGGGACCAATCTAGCTTATTTTATCATAAATACATATTTGGGGGGATTGCTAGACATCTCTGTCTCAATAGTCAGCCCAATGGAGCTGGGATTTTATGAGCATCATGTGACAGAAGTCACAGCAGCTGACTCTAGTCATTTAGTCAGTCTGGAATCCAGAGGATGTGTTGGTTTGAAAGGTGCATTCTCTTTTATCAATTCAAACTTAACCTTCAGGACACTAAAGATCTGTTGATTCTTCTCCTGCTCTTCTACGTCTTGCTTACATAACACTAGTACCATAAGAGAACTCATCATAACCAGTTAAATAATGCCAGTGTGTTTAGGTGTCTGTTTTTCAAAACAGTTTATGGAGAGCAGAGAATTTTTTTATTTATCAAGCATCTATTATATGCCAGTTACTATAGAACATAGATATACTTATTCCCTCATTACAGATCAGTAGTTTACACAGTTAGTAGGTGAAAGAATCAGGATGAAAAGCTGGCTATGCTGTTGTCCAGTCAGAGTTCACCTGAAGCAGGATAACACCTTAACAGTCATCGATGGCAGCTACAGCCCTCTTCTTTTTGGCTGTCCCTCACTCACTAAGCTGCCAACTTCCTCTTTAAGGAGAATCTTTCTAAGAGACATGTGGCTTTTTCTGTCTTCTTATATTTATTTGTCCATTCATTTTGTATGTAATATATACTTATAAGGTAACTACAGTTGTCCACCCTTATTCATGGGGGATACATTCCAAGACCTCCAGAGGATGCCTGAAATTGGCTAGTACTGAAACTTGTATATACTGTGTTCCTTCATATATATATCATACCTATGACAAAGATTAATTTATAAATCAGGCACAGTAAGAGATTTACAGCAATAACTGATAATAAACTAGAACAATTAAAACAATCCTATATAATAAAGAGCTAATATGCTAATTAGACCGGAAGGCAGAATGACCTTCCGGAACAACCTTCTGGAATGACCTTCTGGAACAACCAGTGGGCAGGGACAGGGCCTCAAGGCAGCCGGGGCTGAGAGGGCCGAGGCAGCCAGGGCTGCGAGGGCTGAGCCCCTTGCATGAATTTTGTGCATCAGGCCTCTAGTATACTATAATAAAACTTATGTGAATGTGGTGTCTCTCAAAATATCTCTTTGTACTGTACACACAGCATGGATACACTAGAAAAGGGATGATTCATGTCTCAGGTGGGACGGAGTGGGACAGTGAAAGATTTCATCATGCTATTCAAAATGGTACACAATATAAAACTTATGAATTATTTATTTCTAAAATTTTTAAGATTTCAGATGGTGGCTGAAACCATGAAAAGCAAAACCACAAATAAGGGGTACTACCATATATAACTGGCCTTGTTCTATTGCATAGCATAAAAGAGACAAAAATTCCTGTCATCATGAAGTTTATATTTTCACCAAGGAGACAGACAAAAAATAAATAACATAAAATACATATATGGCTTGTGTAGTATATTACAAGGTAATAAATGCTAAGGTAAAATGAAAAGTAGAGCAGAAGAAGGAAGTGGGGTGCATGGTTGGGGGATAGTATTAAATAAGTAGGTCAGGTTCAGGATCCTAGAAAAATTGAAATTTATACAAAGCTCTGAAGAAAGTGTATTCCAGGCAAAAAAAACAGTTAGATAAATGCCCTAAGGTAGAAGTATGTCCAGTGTGTTCTAGAATTATTAAGTCTGTGAGTGTCTAGAGAGGAATGAAGGAGGGAAATATTAGCTAATAAGGGGAGAGAATGATCCTTTAATGGATCCTTTAAAGCCTGCCCCTGCTTCGCCAGAATGTATACAAGGAACTCCCAGTGCCTCCAAACTGATTATTTGGATGGTCTTTTTGCTCAGTAGTCCTAGCCCACATTTGTCTTCATAGAATAGTGCTCCAAAAATCACTGGCATCCTCTGAGTTTAGAACATTCCTTCAGCCAGGTTCAGCCCACTCACTCATATGGACCCACTCATGAATCATTATTTCTATAGTGTTTCTAGTTTATCCATTCATTTATGTTGACCACAGTCAAAAGCAACAATGCATAGCATGTACTCAGGTGTGTTTGTTGAATGAATAGATAGATATATGAGTGAGTTAGTGAATGAATGAATGAATGAATGAATGAATGGAGGCGGATTGAATCTTATGACACAGATGGATATTCCCACCTCTAAATAAACTTGTATTCTGGATGTAGAAGAAAGCTCCACATTTCCTTATGTTGAATTAAGTATCTGGAATATGGTTGAGTGCTGATTAAATATTAATTCTCTTTAAATGTATTCATTTTTTCGTCAAAGTAAGAGAAATCAGAGATTTTTCGTAGCTTCAGAGACATTCTCTGGCTCCTACTAAAAATATTTTGCTTCACCTTGAGCAGAGTGACCAGTTAAAATGTATTTACACCTAATCTCAGAAAAAAAAGTTATTAACTTTTTAGTGATATCATTTTGCCTAGAGTATCCACAGTGATTTCATTGTGCTGGTACAAACTTTCACTTCAAATGTCAACTACATAATTATTCCCTTGGTTGGATTTAAACTTGTTTAAAGTGGTGATTTGTTTCCTCAGCTCTTCTGTAACCTAGATTGTCTGTGGCATTTACTGTTGACATAGTGAATCAGAGTCCCTGGATTTGTTTTAACCTTTTCTTTCTACAGTATGGAGTGACTTCTGTAGTACTCTAAGTGCAGTAGATTGATTCTAGCATGTGGCTATGAAGCTTTTGTAACTATATTCTTAAGCACCCTGTAATCATATATAAATACAAAGGAATAGGGTTAGAAAACAAGAGCGGATAAGTATTTTGAATTTCAAAGGAAAAACCAAATAGGTGCATTTTATTTATTCTAGATCATCAATTGCTTGTTAAACAATTTTTTTTTAAACTGAGGCAAACAGATACAGGTATAGATCTGTGGAAGTCAGAGCATCAATAAAGAATAATTACCCACTTTAGTAGGAAATTAGTTAACACTAATTTTAATTGCTCTATCAACTTAAATCCATTTTCCATTTATATTAACAACTATTATATTTAATTTAGCAAAAATCATTTTATTCCAAATATAATTTCAGAGGTGTTACTTTATAATTTACTATGCCACTATTTCTCCATTAACTAATCATCTTAAGAGCACATAGTTCTACTTAATATTTAATAAAAGCATAGTGAAATGGAGTATTTTTAAAAGTGTTTTTCATTATTTTTGTATAAAGTGCCAGGTAGGTTTCTTGGGTTTTTTTAAATCATAAAACAGGTGTTCTAGTTTGTTAAATTAGGTTACTAGGTATGTGTGGTTTAAAAAAAAAAGTTGTACACCAAGTAAGTTACAGAAATTTTCTGTTTTTACTAAAAAAATCACTTGATATGTATCTTTCTGAGTAATATGCATGTTAATTATCATTATAATTTTAAAATGCAATAAAAATATATGCTATAAGTATGCTGAATGTATATTCAATCATATTCTGAAAAGGATATTTTTATACTTTTAAAGATTCTGTAAGTCATTTTTAAATGACCTCATAATGATTTTAATAACTATTCTTATTATCATTCCATAGGTATATGTAAATAAAAATTTTGTAAGCCATAGCACAGTAAAAATTATCTCTCAGTGTAGAAAACTTGCATATTTAAAGTGATTTGATATCCTGTGGTATGTTATAAGAGTAATAGAGAATATCGTCTGTTTCTTTATTCTTAAGAATGTATATGGAGATCATTTATTTTTTGTGTGACTAGCCTCACTATTACTTAATAACAGTAAGTGCCATGAAATGTGAAGATATGACAAGGTGGCCAGAGAAGAAAATGGGAAATGCAAGCATCTAGCTTCTTTTCCTTATCTTCTCTCTGAAATTACTACTTAAATGCCCAGTATCTCTTGTCTCTAATTTGGGGAATTTTCTAACAGTTGTACTTCTCATCCTGAAATGTCAAGAGTATCTAGGTCTATACCCAAATAATTCTCTATGCCACAGTAACAGCAACAATGAAAATGAGCCCACAGACTCAACGTGAGCAGAACTGTACTTGTGTTTTGCCTGGCTCATGTAGGATCCTTTCACACTTTTGCCTGCTCCCTATTTTGTCCAGTCACCTGGTAGGAGCTGATTAGTTAGCTAGGGAACAACAAATAAATGTACAATCATAAAGTAGAACAAAACTAAGGGCCACAAGGGATTGACTTCAAGAGCTTTGGCTCAACACATTGGCATTAATCAACAAGTCTTCAAATATTTAAAGAAGAACAAATCAACCGAGGTAGAACCCTTGCTGTTATTTATCTCTGTTATAATAAATTGAGGATTAAAGTTTTTAGACTGTTGAAATGTGCTAATTGCATTTTCTTAAAAAAAAAAAAAAGCTTTTCTTTTTCTGTTTCTTCCCCCATAGGTTTAGGCTTCAGTATTGCAGGAGGTGTGGGGAACCAGCACATTCCTGGAGACAACAGCATTTATGTAACTAAAATCATAGATGGAGGAGCTGCACAAAAGGATGGGAGGTTGCAAGTAGGAGACAGACTACTCATGGTGAGTGTGACTCAAGCAAAACTATGTGCTTATTTATAAAGCTCCTTTCCCAGTGTAGGAATGTTGGTTGGTTCAGGCTGTCATAACAAAATACCATAGACTAGGTGGCTTAAACAACAGATATATTATCTCATAGTTCTTAAAGCTGGGAAGTTCAAGATCAAGATTCTGGCCCATTCAGTGTCTGATGAGATCTCTCTTCCTGGCTTACAGACATCTCTCTTCTCTGCGTGTCCTCACATGGCCTTTCTCGATGCTTGTGCTGAGAGAAGATCTCTCTGTGTCTCTTTCTCTTCTTCCTAGACCACCAGTCCCACCAGAATACAGCTCCACCCTTAACTCATTTAATTAATAACCTTGATTACCTCCTAAACACCCTATCTCCAAATACAGTGATATTAGCAGTCAGAACTTCAACATATGAATTTGCAGGGAAAGGACACAATCCACTCCAGAGCAGTGATCATGGGCAGAAATAGAAAAGAAGGGAGCGCATATTTTGTGGTAAGAGATCTCAAAAGTACACATATAATTGTATCTGACTTGTTGACATTTTAAAAACAGAAATCTAAATTATCACCAGTTTTCATAGATAGGCAAGGCACAGAGATTTTAGGTTGTTTTTCCAACACAATCCATCTCCTATGAGAAGGGAGGCTGCTAAAGCCGGACTACTAGAGAGGTGGGCTTTGCATAACAAAGGGAACTGCCTGGTGTACTGATAAATACATTATTATATCTGTGTATTTATAATGATTTTCTGTGGTCCATTGTTCAATCAGTGTAGACTCAGTCCCTACCTTCCAAGAATTCACATGTGTGAATGGATCCCTTCCTCCTCTCCCCTCAGACAGCATTACAGCTATTATATTTGCCAGCTGCCCACATGCTGCAGGAGCCCTGCAAATGATTGATACCAACACATGGCCACCCTTCTAAGCCCTGGGGTGATATGCTAAACTAAGGCAACATCAGACAATGATAAGCAGTGAAACAGTTGAGATTTCACTTAATAAAACTACTTCATGTCCATTGACTCTTTTATATCAAATCTATATGATAATAATCAAATACTGAAAATTAATAGAAGATAGCTCTCAAGTGAGATAAGTATATGTAGTCTTATGTCTGCCCTTAGACAATAGAGCCTCTAATATATGTCTGTAAGGAGCCATTATCTCCAGCACTTTTGTGAGAAGTGTTTGGGAAGGACCAATATATACAGTCTCCTCAGAATAGTAAATTCTAAGACAGGTGCAAGTTTGTAGATTGAACCTCAAAGTTCATTGTGCCCACTTCCGTGTTCTAGACAGCTTGTCTTTAGTCTCACTCTAATTTCATAGTTGTCAGTGACTTTTGTATTGAATTATTTAAACAAGACCTTTATAATATTCTATTTTAAACTTTATTATTGATTTTGTAGAGAAGAAGGGAAAGGGAGGGTGGAGATTGATTGCCTCCCACACATGCCCCAACTAGGATTGAACATGAAACCTGTGTATATGCCCTGACCAAAAATCAAACCCACAACCTTTGGTGTACAGGATGATGCTCCAACCAACTGAACCACACCAGCCAGGGCTATAGTATTCTTGATATTTATTTGGCTTTAACTATTTTCCATGTACTTTTAACAGTGCTTTTCGAATGGCTTATTTTATATAAGCAAAAGGAAATGGAGGTATAGAGAGACTTACTTGCTAACTGGTCATATAGTTAACAATGGGCAGAACTGGGTTTCAAATCCAGTCAGTCTGGCTTGCATCCATGCTTAAAACCACTAAGCATGGTCTTTTCATTTGTTTCCTAGAATTTGTCTGTCAGTTCTTTCCTTCCTTTAGTTATCATTCAGTCATTTCACTAATTCTTCTGTTTAACAAGTAATATATTGCACACCTTTGATTTCCCAGCAATAGCCAGTATTCAGAAAGCAACTCTGGCAGGAAAAACATATGGCAAAAAATTTTTTTTTTAATGTAGCATTAATGACTTTAGTCAAAGTTGTAGCTACGAGTTTTTGGCTTTTTTACTACCTGAAGTTAGTATCATTTTATTTTCTTTTTTTAAAACCACTTTATTGAGGTATGATTGGCATGTAAAAACCGTACACATTTCATGAACACACTCCATGAGTTTAGGGATAGGTATACACTCATGAAAATACCACCATCATTAAGGCTATACATATATCCATTACCTCCCAAAGTTTTCTCTACCCCTGTATTGTTATTGTTATTACTGTTATTATTACTATTCTTATTAATATAATAATTATTATTTGTGTATATATGTGCTAAGAACACTTAACATAAGATCTAACCTAAGTACATTTAAAATATATAATATAGGCACTATGCTTAATAATAGAACTACCATTTTTATTCTTAAGACTTTCTGAATTTTCTTGTTTGTTTGCTTTGTTTTGTTGCCTTTCATGTAAGAGCTGGTTCTTATGAAGTTGTGTCTTTTGAACCAGAAGAGTGTTTTGGGAATGTAGGCCCTAATAAATTCATTTCAAGAATATAAACTTTATTGTTTGTTGACTTGGGAAGGAAATAAACGGAGAAATCCATCTCCTGCATCGTGCTAAATTGAAATGAAGAGGACAGTGTCATTCTAAAGTAACGACTGCCATAGATGGTTATGATGTGACTCAAGACTCATCATTCTTCTATAAGAGTTTGGTTGTAGACAGCTCTTCTGGTATTTCTTCAACCACTGCTATTGAAATCTCATTCTAGATGTTGTGTGCTGATTTCTTAGGGTTCCGTTTAAATTTCTAGCTTTATTTTCAAATTCTTATAAAAACTTGAAGTCCAAATAATTCTGTCAAAGGATTTTCCAGGCAGCATGCTATTATCTTATTATAATTTTCTCAATATTCATTGTAGATACAATGATTTCAAAAATAGCTGTGACATAATCCTTAACTGATTGAGTGTTAAATAAAGAATAGCTTTTTAAAAAAATGAACCTTCAACAATAATAGGCCTCTCCTCTCTTATGTAAGGAAAACCTAATTATTACTTCCAAGGCAACTGTCAGGCTGAACTTGGAAATGAAAGAAAATGATTCATTTTATAATATTCTGAAAGAAAAATTGCCACGAGGGGGAGAATAAAGAAAATAATCATGGGAGCTACCCCAAAAGACCAATTATCTTGTTTCACCCCAAAAATATGTATTAATGCTCTCCCTCTGTCATTTCTTTCCACCTCCTCTTCCCTTTACTACCCTACATTCATGTCTTTTTATATTCCTCATCTTCTACTCTCCTCCCCCAAAAGAAATATGAATAATTTAGGTTCTGTGATTTACCACCTGAACCACACTCTATAGTTCTCTCTAAATAGCTATTCTTTTTTCTAAAGTAATTTGTACCACTTCTTAGGAAAAATCCTCCCTATATTATTCATTCATATTTCTGTAAAGTAAACTGATCTGAAATAAATCTCCTTTCATTTCTTTAGACTTTTGTGGCTGGATCACCGCACTTCAGAAAGTCTCGCAACATCTGCCCTTCAGTGAAAGCAATGAAATCACAGTGCTTAGAACTACTCTTTTTTAGACTCTTAGCAATAACCCTTCCAGTTTCTGTACTGAAATAGCTGAATTATACCATATTTATTGGGTACATTTTTCCTTATGTACTTGATACATCTCAGAAATGAAGTTTCTATTTTAGGTATTATCTTGTTCCAGCTCTTTTGGAACATCAGAATCCCACAGAAAAGTAGGAAGGAGTCTCTCACCTTTGCTAGAACATGCTAAGGATGGAGAACTTAATGCCTCCTATAAGCTATTCATTATTAGATACTGACCGTCATTAGCAATTTTTCCTTAAAATTACATCAAAATATCTGTACCTATACATTTCTGTCTTTATTCATAGTCCTGTCCCTTGAAAAGGTCAATACTAATTTCTCACCCACATTTGTTTGAGAAATTATATCTGTCACTTCTTCACTTCTCAGTCTTTTAAGATGTTTTACACATTTTTCTCTCACTCTTGCCATAACTTTTTCCACACCTACTTATCTATATATATAAAAGCCTAAGCAACCAGCCAGTAGCTATGACTTGCACTGACCACCAGGGGGCAGACGCTCAAAACAGAAACTTCTGAGTGACAACAACTTTGCAGGGTGCCCTCTCGCACTCCAGGACCCCTCCAGGAATATCAGACTGCCAGTTTTGGCCTGATCTCCACAGACCAGGCTGAGGGACCCCACCTGCTGGAGGGACTCCGCTTACTCTGCAGATGCCCTTTGAGCCCCAGCGCTGCCCCAGGTGCAGCCGGCCAGGGAGGGACTGCTGGAGGTTGGCTCCAAGGTGTATCTGGCCCATCGTGTCCAGTTCTACCCCACCAGCCACCTTCTAATTAATTTACTTTAATGTGCATGAATCCGTGCACCAGGCCTCTAGTCTTCTATAAGTAGATTACCCATTTAACAAGACATTCTTTTCTTTCTTAATATGTTATTCCTCCCATCTGATCTTTACATTATTCTACTATAAGAAAAAATTATCCTGCCTATCACACATGCAATAAGCTTCTTAGTTTTTCAGATAAGATAAGTGTTTAATGTTAGATCTCTCTGCTGTTTCATGGGTCAACCAGATAGTCTCTTATCAAAATAATAATTTTTAAACTTTTTCTGCTGCTTGACACTAATCATTCACTAGAATATTGCTTTGCTTATTTTGTCAAATGACAATGACATCTGATTTTTGCAGATTATACCAGTAGCTTCATGTTGTAATCTCAGACTGAATAGATTATCTCCTGGCCCTGAACTTTATGGGACAGATGATCAGAAGTGAACAGTAATAATTTTCAAATTCTTTCATAGATTTTTATACACTGGTTTCTAGTAAACCCTACCAAGGAGAAACACAGAGCCACATATATTACAGAAATGCGATGTCCTTCATCTTTTCCTTCACAAGGCCGGAAACTTTGAATCCAGGGTCATCTGTCTGTCTTCCCTGTAGGGATA